GTACATGGAATATAGGATTTCAAGTAAAAAAAAAAAAGCAAGGAAGCCAGCTCCACACGGCACTGTCTCTATCCTGAAAAGCAACAAAATTATCTCCGCAACTGACATCAAGGCTCAATAAAAATCAACCATCCTAAGGAACTTACACCGCACTCCTGACAGGAGAGAGCTACCGCTGATTTCCCAGCAGTTCCTTTAATTAGGTACCTTCTGTCAGAAGGCCACCGAACTCAAGGGCAAGGGATACCTTTGCTACAGAAACCTTCAGTTTTCCATTCCAGCAAATCCACTGTAGTCTTTCTGGGACTGTATCAAAGAGCCAGAAATATATATGGCTTTTTTCCTTCTTAAAGGCAATGGAAAAGCTATCAAACTCTTGACTTAAAGGCACATTTTAATTCATTAGATACAGAGAAACCAACTTTGGCAAACAAAGAGGTAGTGTATATATGGTCTAAACTGTGATAGTTTCAAAAAGACATAGCCTCAAATGGCACCAGCCTCTTCAGGAAATTAATAATAGAGCATTCCAGAAAACAAGAGACAACATAATGATTTATACCTCCTCAACTGCAAAAATGAATGACAAGCACATTCAGGTTTTAGTGAGCAGAACTAGCACTGGACAGTCTTCTGTAAGAAAAGAGGTAGCACTGAAGGCAGCAGGCAGCAGCATCTGGTACTATGACAGTGATACATCCAGTACTCCCACCGACACACTCTCGTGTGCTACACGTACGCGTCTTTAAGACCATTTCACACACACACAGAAAAAACAATGAGCGGCCCATAAGGAAAAGTAGATAGATAGATATATTCTTTTTACCCTATTAATGATCTCCTACTACAGTCAATCAGTAGTATAAGACGTGGTACAATATATTTAGAAAGTCAATGCCAGTGCAATCATTGTCCATTTCTGACGGATATATTCAACTGCAAATTCCCTCCCACCCCCCAAAAAGGTCATTCATGCTTTACAGATCTTATATTCGGCAGTACATGGAGCGCTGTCACGTTTCCTACAAACAAAAAAACAAGTCAAATCAGAGATTTCACATTTAAATAGTTTTTACATTTATTCTGAAAGCGCATCCTTAATTTTATCATTAAATCAACAGGTAAAGTCATGAAAATAAATTATTATTCGTCCTCTTCTTACTAAGCAACTGCTAGACTGAGGAGATTTTTCTTCATTTCATCCACTAGACTGTTAAGAACGACCCACAGACCAGAAGAGCATTTGATCCAAATGGATCGTTTCAAGTGATGAACGGACCATGCCCGAGTACTATCAAAAACCAAAAAGACAGAATAGTTACAGGATTCCTAACTAATTTGGAGGCTACATCACGAGCATCCCTTATAATTAGTTTTAAATACAGTATGTTGTTTAGTACATATTTTATAACGAGAAGCTGAATACTAGTTTGTGAGAATTTTGATTCTGCAGTCTAAAGCAAATTTACAATACTTAAGCATATGAGGATTAAAATTCATAATTACATCCATATATATGTGGTTTAAGTTCTTGAGTAACTCCTGTTTTGCTTTACAGGAAAAAAACCCATACCAAATGTCTGCACTATTACTCTAGGTCTCTAGGGAGTTCTAGATACCGTAAGAAAAACTCAGGGGTTAATAGTGCATACACATACCAGACCAGTAATTTCTCTTATTATTGTCATGTGCAAAAGGTAACATCTGAAGTAAGAACTCTATTCTATCCTATCTCTTGAGTCCTTTTTTCCTCTCTCCAAAAATAAGCCAAACTAACCCAGAAAACTAACCCTATCTCAATTGGAAACATCTTGCTTCAGAGGTAAAGATGATATTCTTTAATCCACACATTATTCTGGAAGAAACTCCAAGCGTAATTTTCATATATGCCATCTCAAACTTATCAAAAACACAAAACCAAGTCACTTGTTCCGTAAAAGTATAAATAAAAATCAAGACTATGCATTTGAAGTGACCTTTGCATTTGAAGTGACCTTTACATTAAGTTAGAGACATAATGTTTCAACCACCTTCTCAGAATTTGTGCAATGGAAAAAAGTGACACAAATGAAGTTACTAGTTTACAAAAGCATTTGTAGTGCAAACTAACTGTTAGGGTAGTAATGACAAAATACTGACAAGGAAAGTCACACTAAGCTGTCCTGTCTTAAATCTGCTCTGTTGTAACAAGGTTTGAAGAGTCAGGTTTTTCAAAGAGCTGATTTGACCCTACGCGTCACCAAATGCATCTGACCAGTGCACTAAGCACTAGTTTAAAATATAGGGGAGGAAATCTGTTCCAAATAAGCCACTATACTTTGACTCTTTTTAGGGCTACAGAACTCTGAATTTGAAAGAGAAATCACCTTTCTATAAAAAGGTTTAAAAAAGACCTTGTTTAAACCTTTGTTTTGTTTTTTTTTTTCCCAGAAAGCTGGAAACGCAGATGAATCAGTAATTCTGAGAGACGGGTAATCTGGTTTTCTCTGAAGGATGCACATTCCCTTTAAAATTCTAGTGTCCACGTAATGCAGCAAAGGTGGTTTCCAGCTCTAACAGTCTTCTAATTATAGGCAATTACACTATCAGCTAACAAAAGTAACACACCACTGGAATCATTTCACATTACTGAAACAGGTGCAAGCATTCTGAGTACGTGTGTAGTTTCCATCTTACGGAAAAAGATGTTACTTGTTCTTTAAAGACAATCCAAAACTACGATACACAATCACTAGAAGCTATCATTTACAACACTGAAGGATAATCCTTTATGGAATATATCCTATTCTCCCCAAAATGAATGGATAGTTATTATAGTCTTTCCTACAGAAACTGAGGTAGCTAGCTACACTCCACACTTCTCCTGAAATTCTAAGTAAACCATAACAAAACAAAACAAGACACTTAAGCTTCATTGAAAAAGTCCAAATTAAGTGGAAAGCGTATACCTTTTTAAGATTGAATTAATTCATTTGTGCAGTTTCTTCCATCTCAGCTGGTACATTAGTTTTTAAAATACATGTTTCCTTGCAACTCTCATCAACTGTATACGAGCTGAACAGCAGAAGGGGAAAAAGGTCTAATTGAATGTCCTATAAAACTGGCAGATTAAACACACAAAGAGAGGGCAAGAAAAGATTTTTGCTGTAATTTGAGGACTACTGCCCAGCAAGTATGGAGGTTACTGGAAGCACAACAGTTCATGAAGGCTCAGCTACATCAGGAACCCAGAAAACAAAGTAGGGAGATCCAGGCCTTAGTAAGAGGAGATGAGATCAGGGTTTTCAGACAAGAAAGAGGTTTAACAGTCAGACGTTCACAGTGCGGCAGCTTAAGGAAAGCACTGGGCACAATTAAGACTTTTCATGTTGTAAAATTTTCAGGAATATAACATTCTTGTAATTTTTGATGACGCTGCTTTAGATCCTTTCTCCTTTCTACACCCTGGAAGCCTCTCCACAGATGAAGGCAGAAAGCGGTGCCCTCATACTACTAACTCCCACGTACTCTGATTTGGACCATCCACACTGCAGATTATCCACGTCATGGACGAAAAGCAACTGCTCCCAAGTGCTGAATTCCTCGGCAGCACATCGGTACGCAGCCGCTCTGCTAGCAGGGCCACGGTGGCCCTCGTAACGATCCTGTACTGCCTGTGTATAAGTTACTAAGGCCAAACCCTTGCTGGATATAAGCTAGCTTCGGGGTTCTCCCGAGTAGTACTGTGTGTGCTTCATGACAAACATGAAGCACGTGAGTATTTCCTCTGGTTTGCTTTATTTATAACATCCCTTCCTTTGCTTCACGTACCCCAGATCAATCCCAACAGATTTTGTTTAAAGGCAAGTCAGTTTTGATGACGTGTTTCGCATAACATTCTCTGTGTACCACCTAACTTGCTCCGAATTTCCAGCATTTTGCATGTTACAAACTATTTCTCCAACAAAACAGGCTTTTTTCAAGAAGATAAAATAAGACATCACTGCAAGAAGCAATGCACTAAGAGGCATTTAAATCTCCTGTCACCCCTCCATGAAAAAGCATACATAGCCAGCAGTTGTTCTGGAGATGAAGTTCAAAAGGCCCTACACGTCTCATGAAAAACAGAACACTACTATTATGCATCTAATATTTTCCAGTTGATTTTGCAAGTCTTTAACATAGGGACACTGATCATTGCTGCTGCAGGAGAAAATACTGGGGTGGATCCACACATTAAACATTCTAGTGGCAAAGCCGACTATTTGCTGTTTCAAACAGCACAGGAGCACCAGTTCAGGCCCTTTCTTATTCAAATTTTCCTTGTAACTAAGCCCATAACATTTTATTCAAGGTGCTTCTGGTCCAAAACACAAAATAACAGTGGTTCTCCAGTTACCCTCCGCTAACATCGGTACATCTGATGTAGAAGAGAGGAAGCTCCTTAGTTCACCTCCAAGGCTTTCAGTTCCGTAAACCACAGGCTCTTACAGCCTGTGAGACCTAGAGGCGCCAGAGGGTATATCCAAGCAATACAGTAAGACAAGCCCCCACAACCCAACCCTACCGCTGGTTTTAAGAAGTAAACTGGCATGTTTTAGAGCAGATGAGAACAGTACTTTCCTCAGCAAGTGTACCTACACTAAATACAAGCTTAAGAACAGGAGTTTTCTTTCCCTGAAATTAGTGCAAGTGTTAATTAGCAGCTTATCTGAATAGCAGACACAAAACAAAGTCAAATATATTGTTAGGCACTTTAGTTCCCCATCTGTGATAAGCTCACACAATCATCAAGCATTCGAAACAGAAAGGGCAGATAAAGCTCGAGAAACTTACATACGCATTAGCATTGCTTTTGCTCAGTCAGGTTGCAATTTGCAATCATAATAATAATAACAAGCATTCGAAACAGAAAGGGCAGATAAAGCTTGAGAAACTTACGTACGCGTTAGCACTGCTTTTGCTCAGTCAGGTTGCAATTTGTAATCATAATAATAATAATAAAAAGTAGGCTTACTCACCCATTTTGTGAAAAGAATTTCTTATAGACCCAGAAGGCTGCCAGGAACACCACAACTGCCACAATCACTTTAGAAAGAATTAAAAAGCGCCTTAGAGTGATAAAGAGCATCCCTAGCTCACAAAAAAAGCCTCAAAAATTTTTAGCAGGAATAGCACTGCTGTCATCCACAGCCCTATACACACACACCCCCCAACCCCCTTAAAATTTGCACGGCTTATTTCACAAATGTGTGTGTCAAGACTGTTCAAGATAGTTCAGCTGAAGAACAGTGACCACCGACGGGGCAAAACCCCACCAGCTCAGTAACATTAAAACAGACTTGTCGACACCCCAACATTGTACAAGTTCATGAGAAAGTGGCAGGCTTACAAAGCTGGGCAGCAAATGCCAGGACAAAAATGGACTAAGCACTTTTCACCAGCACAGTTATTTATTCACACTTCCAGAAACCCAAGCTCTGAAGTTTTTGAAAGTGTCAACATTGTGGAATACTGCCTTTGGAATCTGACCCCTCACACACATGAAAAAAATACACATTTTACATGAAATTAATCTCTAATTGCTAAGTAATCTTAACTTTTCTTGAACTATGCAGCTTTAGGAGTAGACAAGCATTTTGAAAAAACTCCAAAATCACGTCATATTATGCAGCCACAGGATGACCAGAACATCAATTCCGCGTAAAAAACCCAAACCAACCCACATCGCATCTTGTTCAGGTTTTGTAAGATACTTACCGCAGACGATGGCCGTAATATACGCACCTAAAAACAGAGTGAATCAGTATCACAAAAGGAACACGTGCGCTTCTTATTCAAATAAAAATATTCTCAGAGTTCTTTCAAATAGATCAAGCACTTTGTCAACACAATCCTTGCAGCAGGCCAGTTGGTACAGCAACATTTATTTAACTTAAAATATTCCTATTTTTAAGTGGATTTTACCAAACCCCATTTTTCTTATGTCAAAAATAAAGAAGGAACTTTGCAATAAATCATTTCTCCCGAATACGAAACAGTGTCCCCAAGAACTTCTGTTACATGTATTTTCATTCTAGTGGAAATTCTTGCGGTTCCTACTTACTTAACTGGCAAGCTGGCACTCCAGGAACCCATCGGTTTTCTCCAACATACTGAATACGAGCTTCGCCATGTAACGTGTAGCCTGCATAACATTCAATCGTAACAAAATCCCCGACAGAATATGAAGACTTTTGTCCATCAATTACTCGACCATGATTTATGACTAGAGTGAAACCAGAACTTTCAGGCTCACCTGGAAAGGGAAGCGGGGAGGGAAAAAAAGGAAAGGAAATAAAGCCCAAGAACAGAGCTGGTACATGAAGCAGATTCAAGAAGTTGCCATCCAAAAGTCACTACGTTTGTGTAAATATCAGAAGCTCCATCAATCCTTAAGACATTTGACATGCAGAGGCTTCCTAGAGGCTGCAGATACTTCTGCTGACGGCCACAATTCAGACCCATGAACAGAAACACACGTCACAGCTTCATTAGGACAAACAGTTGCATCAAAGCAGCAACAACCTCTGTTCATACTGTCACCAGCGATCACGTGGTGCAAAGCGAGGCAAGAATAAAGCCTGCCGTCAAAGGAAGATTCTCCAGAAAACACTCCCAGAACAGATCTTTCACACCAGCGTCTGAACTTTACCAATTCCCACAAAGAAAACCGAGGCTGAACGAGGACTCCAACTCTGCCGACGACTTTCCTCCGTTGCTGAAACGCCACCCGGTGACACACACAACCCTACCAGCACAACCTGTTGGCGCCCTGCTGACAGACCTCTGGCTTTCAGGCTCTGCACATTACTTTGTCAGACATTTGGAAGTTGTTGCTCTGCCCTTCATTTTATCAATTACGACATTTAGTCACACGCAGAGTTTTGTACAGAACTCCACATATGCTGTCCTTGACAAGTTACTGTCATCTCTTCAGCATCACCAGGAAAAGTACAGTAACCACTGCCCTTTCTCTGAACAGACTCTTCTCCTTTGTACACAGACTCCTCTGGAATCACTACTCCCTGTGTGATCTTTGGGGCACCACGTACATATTTCGGTAACTAATACATGAGCTTAAAAGCAAGCTTAGTGATAATAAACTTTAAACATTTCATAATTCATTAATTCACTCCACAAATATAAGTTGCCTTTGTACAAGAAAAATAGATCAGCAGATTTGAGTAGTTTAAATTTACTGCCATTTTAAGTATGTTTCCTTTAGAAGACTTAAAAGAAACATCACTGTAGGTATTTATTAAGGTAATACGATCTTACGATGTGGTAGCTAAGAAATTAGTATTTGTTGGCTAATTATTTTTGTAAGCTCTAAGATTTCCAGGTGCCTCAGACTCACTCATGATGGAACACCCAAACACACTCTTTGCAGAAATGGTTCTCGTTCTTGGGAACTCACTATTAAGAGTACACATATAATAAATTCTCTCACTGTATTCTACAACAAAATTCCCTCTAGCACAAAGAGGGAGGAGAAAGGTTACAGAAAGACCTCTGCAATGTCCCCAGCCCTGCAAGTTAGTCCTGACTTAATAATTTGCCTGATCAAAATCTAACAACATACCACACACCCACCATACAAGATGTCTGGAAAGCAAGAGTTGAAGAGCTGTGTAAGAGAACACAGACATGTAATGATTTAATTACTCCAGAAGGACCCTATAGGTTTCCTCATCGTGCATACTCCTAGTTCTTTCTATCAGAGAAACACATCTTTTCTGCATTTACACACGAAATCACTAGAACAAACACCATGATGCTATTACAGTACATCCACGTCACAACGGCTGTACGCATGGCTGTAACTCACTCTCATCCATCAGGTCTCTGGAGTTAAGAGTCACTCGAGCACCTAAAACGGTTGCCCACAGACGAGGCTCCATGTCAGCTTCCTTAACTTTCAATTTCCAACTAGTGTCATCATTTCAAATTTTAGCTAAAAGAGACTTACAACATTCTCAACATATAAGAAAAGTTGGATTTTTATTTAAAGGCTTACGTTTTTCACAAACTGGCTTTGGAGGAGACCAGGTGCTGTTTCCTTCACAGGTAATCATCTCCGATCCAATCAGGAAATAGCCTGGATTGCACTCAAACACGACTGAGTCCTTATATCCATAGGAAAGTCCAAATCCAGATTTTTTTTTTCCATTTTCAACTTTTGGGTTATCACATTTGACCACTGAAATAGGTGAAAGAAAAACAGCTCTGAAACATTTGTTAACAGTATCTTTGCAACAGACACAGCATCCTTTTACTACCTGCAAGTTTCCTCATCTAATTGCTCGAACTGTTTTGGAGGGGCTTTGTAAAAAGGTTATTCTCTTGAAGGTGCAGAAGATCCTTGTTTTAAGCTATTGAGTCTCAATTGTACACAGTCAAAAAAGTGTAATAATTGATATAATCACATTCCGCTTCCAAAAGACACGCTCCTGTACAGCAGCAGAATTTCAGAAAACAAAGTGGTATTGGTTAGGGTTCAAATGACAACGTGCAAGCATCTGGTACTGCTCCCTACATCGGCAAAGCAAGACTTTGTGCTTGCTGGGCTTTGCATTTATTTTTGCACTTGAATAGTAGCTGTGTTTAGAAAAAGAGTTCTTCCTTACCTTTGTACTATTCATAATCTAGCTTCCACATCCCTGCTTTTTACACAATTTTTCTTCAGCTACCCAGGCTTTATGGTCTCCCAGCTCCTTCATTTTGTCCTTGTCACTTCTATCAACAGCACGCTCATTCATTTTTAAAGCTTTAACTTAAGTTTTCGTCATATTTAGTGTCATAATCAAACAATATCCATAATGCAGTTGATCCGATCCCCGCTGGAACTGTATCAAATCTAGTACCAGAGGACCTGTTTCTTCTTTTCTATAGGGAAATCCACACCCCCCACACCCCCCCTTCCAAAAAAAAGGGACAGATACTGAAGTTTTGGAGTCACAGAGGCTATATAAAGTAGCATATTAAAAATTCCAACAACCTCTACATTGCGGAGGTGGCTCACTCCAAACTCCGTTTAAGTGTGCGTCAGACGTGCAGAAAATAGTAGCTGGGCCAATCAGCGAGAAGGGATCTGCGCCTCTCGGGACCTCGTCACACGTGTAGGTTACGGACTCTCGATAAACATAGTTGGTTGCTTCAGTATAGCGCCCGTTGGCTATGCTTGGGGGTGGCTCACAAGGAATTACTAGAAATAAAATCACAGAAATCAGTCAATAGAATTTTGCTGTTACCTTGTTCATCTCAGAAATAGCGAGCTTTGATTTTCAAGTAATCTAATTTAAAATCTGACATATAGCTATTTCTAAGACAAGCTACAGTTATAACCAGGAGTCACCGACAGTCATTTATTATAGGGAGTCTTAATTTCAAGAAGTTGACTTTAACTGATATGAGCTAATTACCACAATAACTCATATTTTTCAGTGCTTATTCCTCAGGCACATCCCCAGTAGTTCCAAAAAAACTAAAATAAAAATCAGTCCTATTTTACCACCATTTCTTATACTGGAAAGTATACGGCACAGCTGTTTTTAAATGAACTACCACCATCTGAATATAAAGACAGTATTTACTTAGTAAAGTATTTCCTAAGTAAAGACTTGAAGACAGTAGCAATTTACTTACTTTCACAGAAAGGAAGATCTCTATTCCAGTCAACACCTTCATCCTTAATTACACAGAAAATTTCATCAGTCCCACGTAATCTGAATCTAGACAGATAAAAATTTTTAAAGACATGAAACTTAAGAAATCTCTAATTTCTCCAACAAACAGGTAGAAATTTTGTTTATATAATTCTGGTATGTGATTATGGGGACACAACACACCAAGTTTTTGTTCTAATGAGAATAGTATCTTTTTTTTTTTATTTTGCTAACAGTCTCAACTTCAAAAACACAAGCACAGCAAATGAGACATCACTAGAGGAACTGATGGGAATCTTGCCATTTTAAGACGGGTACTCTATAATACTAATGTCCTAAAGTTACTAATACTAAAGAAATAAGCTGTTAAAAGGAAAAGGAGGAAAAAACCTTGCAAGAGGTTAGTGCTTTTGACTTAAATTTCCCACACACAGACGGGTGGGCCATCATTCAACATAATAATGAAGGGTGATGAACATAATATATTTATTCCCCCTCCCACAGGAGCATCAAAAGAAGTCATTAGAGGTAACACCCTAGTTTTCGCTCTGCACAATCTCACTACAACAACTTAAGCCTTGCTCGATGCAAACAGCAAGTAAAACCAGGGAATCAAATCAAATTTAGCTGTAATTTCATTTGCTCCAGGTAGAATTCAGGAAACTTTTCAAGTCAGAACTGGAATGGAACCTGCATAAGAAAATTTGGGTTTGGTTCAAATGTAGTCTAAACAGAAAAAAAATCTAAAAAGATTCATTAACTTCACCAAAATACTTACCCTTCTTCACAAGAAAAAGTAGCTTTTGAACCAAATGTAAGACCTGTCACACTAATAAACCCATGTTTTAATTCTCCTGGCTGGTTACATCTTCTCTCTAGAGAGAGGAGGGGAAAAAAAAAAAAGGAAAGAAAATCTACAACTTTGTAGTTACATACAAGGACTAGGTCTTCTGCATATACTGCTCTTTCAGTCATCAGCACTTTTCAAGCTTTGTTTAAAATACTACCAAATACTAATTCTCACTTGAAAAACAACTAAAATTGCTAAATACCAAACGGAAAAGGCACAAGAGCTCATGCACACATTACCTGTACAGAACTGCTCTGAAGGTGACCACTGTAAGTCTTCACCACATGTACGATTTGATGATTTCCCAGGGATTTCTACATACCCTGGCCGGCAGATGTACGACACCGTGGTTCCAACAGGGAAGCTCTTCATCGTGCTAAAACTCTCCTTGGGCTCTGCATATGGCAGCCTCTCTGGAGTCATACACGTGCCTGTCAGAGCAAGAGGAAGGAAAAAGCAATAGGCAATCTTGTCAACAAGAAGAGGTACAAGTTGAGGCATAATGGCATAGAAGCCAGGCTAAGTCAGTAGGATTTAAGGACTCATCGGTAAATCACAGAGGTGACATTCACAACAGCCAGAGCTACCCGTATGTTTAGCTAGGTTTCAATGCTACACTACGACAGGTTACTTATTTGTTTTCTCAAGTTCCTCTTTAGCGTTCTACCCAGACAATGCGCTTCCTTCCAGTTCCTATTTTTTGTCCATTTGCCTTGTTCTTGTAAATACATGACTCAATTCACTGTATACCCATCTGCAATGAAACGCCCGTTTATTTTGCTGCAGGAGAAACAAACCAACCCGCCGCACTCACGTACTTCATTTCCCTTCCCAAGACAAAGGGCCAGGCAGATCATCGAGGGGAGTTTAAAACCCACCACACAACCCAGCAGAGACCTACAGACCCGAGGACATTTTGAGATGCGGTTAAATGCTGAAGATGTAAAACTCCTCCACACCAGAGGACTCAGAAAAACTCACTCAAGACCTCGCAACCCTGCCACAAACGCCCGACCCGCCCAGCCTTTGCACGACTTACACACGACCGAGGCCACCACCTCTTCCACCGTATCTGTTCATCTCCTTTCCCGTTTATTTATTGTCTTGTTCAGAGACTTACCAAACCACAAAAGAAATTCAAACCGAGAACTCTGGGTCTCTACCAGCACCCACCAGCACCAAAGCCAGCACGCCTATTTTTGCAACACAACCCTTCTCTCACCTTTTCGCCCCAAACCCCACCGAGGCCGCCCGCAACACTCGCTGTTTCCGCCACCGCCTAAAGCCATTTCCTTCCCCCTCCCCGAGGGGCCCCGCAAGGACCCCCTCAGCCCGGCAGCACCCTCGGGGTCGGGAAGGACAAGCTCTCTCCCTCCTCCCG